GTGGTGGCCCCCCCCAGCCTGCCTGGGGGAGCCAGGATGGCAGCGCCTGGTTGTGCAGGGGCTCGGACCGGGTGGTGTCTGGTGGTGGTGCAGCCTGGAGAAGTTTGTACCGTTGTGTCCGTCCACGTGTGCAGTCCACTGAGCACTGATGGCTCCTTGTGCCCTTCCTCCGGCAGCTCCTCGGCAGCGCAGCGCGGGCCCGGCTCGGGCGCAGCTTTGCTGAATCCCACCCTCTGAGGGGACACGGGTGGCACTCAGAGAGGTCTGGAGCTCCTCGCGTGCTGCGAGGTGTCAGCCCTGCCCATCCCGGGCTTGGCTCACTCGGCTGCAGAGTATGTGCTGGTCCCGGCTCACACCCTCCCCCAGTCCCCCCCAGCACTGCCTTCTCCCCAACAGCCGTGCCTGAGCTTGTGTCCTTGTGGGGTGGCACAGAGCAATTCCTAAGCGTCTCCTTCCTCCGCAGGCGTGTAATGAATTCACCACACATGTGATGAACCTCCTCAGAGAACAGAGCCGGACACGTCCCATTTCTCCCAAGGAGATCGAAAGGATGGTGGGCATCATCCATCGAAAATTCAGTTCCATCCAGATGCAGCTCAAACAAAGTACTTGCGAAGCAGTAATGATCTTAAGATCGAGGTTCCTCGATGCCAGGTAAGGCAGAGGCGAGTGCCCCGGCCTGTTCTGGGCATGGAAGGGGCAGTTGTTGTGCAGCCCAGGGATTGCTGCGTGGGCAGGGACCCACTGGGAGCAGCTGCTGTGAAAGGGGCTCTCCTGCACAGGGCTTTCGCAAACACCAACATCTTTTCTACAGATTTTACTGCAAAGTGTAGGCTTGCTTACCCGATGCTTGTGTACCCTGCTTGTACGGGAGTCACACAGGATTTGTGCAAAGGGCTGCTTTGTCACCCCAGCAGTTATTTAAATGGTACTGATGTCTCGCAGCATAAGGCCAGCCCTGCAAAACCCTGACCCCGTAATGGAAGAGCCATGCTCTCCGGGAGGGATGTGCCCACGGGCTGCAGCTGGCGCTGGGTTAGCAGCTGTGTGTGCCCGAGGTAAGAAGGGCGATGATGCTCCCAAAAGCCAGATCTACTGGCCTATCTCCCAACAAACTGTTGCCTGACCGGGGCGTGGGAGAAGGCAGCACCTCTCGAACTGCTTGCAGCCAACACTCGCATCCGTCGGACACCCGTGTCACTGCCGGAGCTCAACACCCGTCCCCGCAGCCTGCCAGCCCCCAAAGCGGCTGCTGCTTCTGCAGGCTGCCAGGAAGCAGGCAGGTGGGATTAGGAGAAGGTTTGTAGGCATGGCCAGGGAAGCCCTGAGGAGGTGGTACATCCATCCCCGATGAAGTCCCATCCCTTTCGCAGGGCTCCCCTCCAGAGAGCAGGGCAGCTGGCAGAGCCGGAGCTGAGCCCGGCAGAGCCAGGAGGAGCAGCCAGCACCATGCAGAGCCTCCCTTCAGCAGCCAGCTCCTACTTCACACCTGAAAGCTGTGAGGAGCTAAACAAGAGCAAAATAATTTTATTAACAAGGAGGTCACTGGCAGGTGTGGCAAATTAGGGTAATTACAAACAGTTGGAGGAAATGTCTATGGAGAGCTCCAGTAACTGCAAAAGGTAGAGCTTGCAGATGCACATTTTAAAGTGATTTCTTTAAAAAGGAGGAAGGTAAATAAGGCAAAATGAGCGGAAGCACAGTAATGAGATAAACATAGCTCTAGGGAGAGAGTCTGCCTGCTCCAGGATACAGTGTAGTTAGCAGCATCGCGGGGCTGCTGGAAGAGAGAGCTGGGGATTGCCGCGGCTGCTGCTGGCCTCGGGCACCGGCAGTTTGATTGCAACCAGCCCTGAGGGGCAGGGAGCTCTGAAGGAAGTGTTTAACTGGTGCTTTCGAGGGGATGTTCTGGGGAGAAGGAGAGCAGCCGATGTTGGCACGGAGGGAAGGCACGGCAGCTGTGCAGATGCTGCCACCGTAACCTGTGTGGCGAGAGCGCGGCGGCAGCCGGCTGCTTGTGTGCTGGAGGGGCTGTGCTGCTCCCGGCCGTGCTGCCTCGCTGCTGGAGGGCACGCCGGGAGGTGTGCTGCAGAAAGGCTTCGCTCTCCTGCGAGGCTGCACACCTCGGTACCTGTCCCCGGTGGCGTGAGAGCCTGGGCGCCGCTCAGCCCACGGCAGCAGGGTGCACAGATGGGTCTCCCCCCCAAAGCCCCCAAAGCCACTTGCTCCCAGAAGCCAATTAGCTCCGTGGGTGCTACGTAAGGACACGGCAGTGGGGTCACCCTGGCCTTTGCCACCGCGCTCACCCTAGGCGCCTGTGCCAAAGCCCCAGCTGACCTCCCGCTGAAGTGCCGCGGGCGCGGAGTGGGTCGCCAGCCACGAGGTTCTGGGTTGGGTGCGGAGGTGCTGCCTCGCCTTTCGCTTCATCGTGCTTTCTGCTACAGCACATGGACGTGGCCCGTGTCCCACGGGATGAAACACCAGGTGGAGGTGGATGGTGCGAAGCCCGAAGCAGAGCCCAGACCTCTGCAGGGCTGGGTGCGGGGCCGTGGGCGCTGCAGCCCCCTGCGCACAGCCTTGGGGGGGGCTGGCCCGACGGGACGGGGTACTGCGGCAACGCTGTCGTGTTTGTGAAACGGGGTCACTTCCACCCCAGCTGGCCCTGCCGGAGTCCTGTTTGCACCTGGAAGAACAGCTCTGGTTTTCTTTTCTCATTTCAGACGGAAAAGGCGTAACTTCAGTAAACAAGCCACAGAAATCTTGAACGAGTATTTTTACTCCCACCTCAGTAACCCCTACCCCAGTGAAGAAGCCAAAGAAGAGCTGGCAAAGAAATGCAGCATCACGGTATCGCAGGTAAGCAGCGGGTGGGTCTGGCCCCCGCCCCTCCGCGCCCTGGGCAGTGTGTCGAGCTCCCGGCTCCCCATGCAATGCTGCCGTCCCCCTCCGGGCTCTGGGATGTGCTCCCGACAGAGGCATGCGATACGGAGCAGGTCTCTCCCGGTGCACCTTTGTAATCCCTTCACGTTTGCATTGTTGACCGTGG